TCTTAAAAAATAATTCGATAGTAGATCTGACAATTTTAGCGGTTAGCGGTAGGCGGCATGAAATTCTGTCGTCGAGGAGCAAAATTCTGTCTTTAGGAGAGCCGATTCCCTTGTCGGAGAGATCTTTTTTCTGTTGTTACCTTTTGTTCGCTTTCTTTCTCTTGTTGTTGAGGTTTCTTTTGGGTGTGGCTCAGAGGTGGTGGGGTTTATTAGTGTTTGGCAGTTTGAAATTTGGGGGGTTTTGTGGGTGTTCGGATGGAAGCTTTTGAGGGCTATAGACGTAATTCAGGGATGTGCGAAATGTACTGGGAATGGAGGAAGATTTAGGGGCTTGGCTAAAAAACATTAGCTTATCTAATCTTGAAAATAGAATTATCGAATTGAAAGAAGAGGATGAGAGATTAAGCGAGGAGGAATGCAGACGGAGTCTGTTAGTGAAGATCATTTGTTTTTAAGTTTGAAGTGGGAGCAAACTTTTTTTAGTTCTTTGAGGATAAGTTTGCGTCAGAACTAAATTTGGTCTTTGAGAACCGATATCTAACCCTTCAGGAGTGGAAGGAGGGACTCTCCTTGTTTTAACGAAATTACTCTTTAGATTAAGGTTCCATTGAATTGGTTGAGTACCGAATTCAGAGTGAAAATTGGAAGGCTGTTCAAAAAGGTAAAAAAATGTGGCAGTGGTGAAAGCATGAGGGAGTAAGGGAAACTATCTTCGATTATTAGCTACATTGGATATCACAGAGTCAGTTTTCTTCCAAGATTGCCAAGATGTGCCCATATTAAACTGAATAACCAGCTGATAGGAATTACTTTCCAATATTAAAATCTTCATTATTATTGTGGAATTGTGGGTCACTGAGACAGGTTATGTGGCAAGAGAGTGGGAGATATAGAAGTAGGCAATGTGGCTGAGGGACAATTTGGTGATTGGATGAAAGCAGCTGAGTCTTTTCGTTCCCATAGACAATCTGAATCACCTCAAAATTCTAATCCTTCAAATAATTCAACTGGTAATAGCTAATTCACTCAACAAGTTGGTCCTTCATCTTCAGCAAATGCTAAGGTGTTTGGGTTGTGGGCTTGGATGGCTCTCCTATTTGTTGCCTTGGTGTCGATCTAGTCGTGCAAGTATCGGGTGCTATCTAGGCTGGTGGGGAGGGCTTTAGTTTAGGCTATTATTATTTTTTTTCTGTGTTTTTTGTGTTTTTGTTTCTGTCGTCGTCTTTGTTGGAGTCCATCTTCCGGGTGCAGTTATGGGATGAGCTTTTGGTTTAGCTTGAGGGATCTGTGTTAGCCGTCACCAATTCTTGGTGAAGGGAGCGGCTAGATTCGTGCCCTGGCTGGTCTCTGGTGGTCGTCTTTGGAGCTTCTTGTAGTATTGTGTTTTGTGATAGTTTGTGTTTATTGTGGTTTGTGTTCTCTTTTTAACTTTCTCTTTTTTGGAAGTTTGTATTCTCTACTTTAATGTTTAAAGTATTAGTTTTCGGGTGTTTTGTCAATTTTTGGGATTTTAGGCTACCGTCTGTGTAGACCTCATTCTGGATTCAGCTATATAGCTACTAGCTAGTTCATTCGACTAGTTAATTGCTTGTAAATATGTGTTTTTATTAATGAATTCTATCATTTTGAGAAAACACTTGTAAATATGTGTTTTTATTAATGAATTCTATCGTTTCGAAAAAAAAAAAAAAAAAAAGGNTATGCTCCAATGCTTACCGCTTTGATTTTCAATAATTTCTCAATATATGTGCATGTGCAATTTTGAAAGAATGTTTTATTAGAACCAAAACGTGCATGTGCAATTTTGAAAAAAATGTTTTTATAGATTCAAAACTTAATAAGGCCTATTAAAACATAATTAGACAATGGAAGAGATTCCCTACTCTCAAATTGACATAAAGACTAACAAAACCCAAAACCACTGTGTTACAGATAACAACAGTTACATTACATCAAATAAATACAGCAAGTCACTTGTGTATTACACTAAACTAAGACAAACGAAAATGAATAAAGAAAAACAAAAAAGGGAAACCTAAATAGTAGGTGGGCAAATATTCACCTTGAACCAAAAGCGCGTCATCTCTTTCTCTTTCTTTTGTACTTGTTCTCCCGCTGAACCTCATCTGTCATTGTCGAAATTGTTTTCAATTTGGCACCGATGGTAGAACTCCACAAGGCCCTTTCAACATCTGATGGTGTAAATAAATCCTCCGAAGAAGACAATTCCTAGAAACAAAAGTGTGGTCAATATCAACAAATGTTATCTTTACAAAAGAAATTCAAAATATGATTCATGAAATGATGCATTATTCTTTCTACTCAATTAGGAAAGCATGACATGGTCAAGTGATTATTTACTGGTTCTCAAGTTTTGTGTTGAAGATCAATTTTGTAGTGACAGCATTTTTCGGAACTCCATATCTCATATTTCTCAGCTCAAAATGAAAAGAGTACAAAATATCAACTTATTACTGTCACCATGCATGAGCCGTACATGCAGAGCTAAACGACATTGTTTTGTTACGGAATTACAAACAAAGAAAGAAACGCACCTTCATACATAAAACGCACTCACATTTTCTTAACAGAAAAGTAACTAACTAAAAGAGAATTTAAAAGCAGCTAAAATGAGAACTTGAATGCAGCATAGTGAATTAGTGATCATGTACGATTCAACGATCATGAACATTCCAACACTTTGGACCAAATTCGTATAAAATATATAGATATCTCCATTCTTCAACTATGACAAGTCTAAGCCTCATCTTTTGAGCTTTAAAATTGCAAATAAGAACCTTCTGCGAACAAATTAACCTTGAATGTAAAAGTCATCACTTCAAAGTTTCAAACAGTCTAGGCATGAAGTAAGAGATCAGCTATTAGCATTCAATATTTAAAAAAAAATAAAAAAAAAAAATCAAAATGAATCACAATTAGAGTAAGTGCGAGTAATCTGATTCCAATAAAATAGAAACAAAAGAAACAAGATAATAAATGACCACTATCAGAGTACATATTATACAGCTTACTGCCACTAAATATATAAAATTCCAAAAGGCTGAACGAGAAAAACAGAATAAGTTCAAAGAGATAATAATAGCTAAAGACCAATCAATAATATGAGGCCGAAGAAAATGGAAACATAAACTAACCTTTGCCTTTATCTGCATCTTTTCTGCAAACGCCACATACCGCTTCAAAGAATAGTCCTTTGTGTCTCCAGTCACAACGATCAAGGCCTAATTTAAACAAAACTCACGGATAAAACACGGCATACCACAAACCTTGGATATAAGAGAAAAAAGTGTATAATGTTGTCATTTCAAGATTGCTTCAAACACTTAAAACAAAATGCTAGAGCCTGACTTCAAGATTTCAACTTGGTAGTTGAAACGACAAAACGAGATAGGCTCAATTGTAATATCAAGCTTGTAATTATGTAGGTGAAGACAACAATAGTCCTACTAAGGAAATCCAAATTTCAACATTTTAAGGCAATTTCTCCCAATCGATGATGATAAATCAATTTCATGTATTTTATTCTCATGAATTTCATGTCAAGACACTGAGAGGATGCACGCATCAAGAGACTGATTTGCATAAACAGTTCCATTAGCCACAGGACTAAAATTTACAACTAACAAATTACCTCGTCGGACATGAAAGGGGCAACCTCCGGCGCATAGGCAGCCAGCACGGCGGAGGCGGTGGCGGGTCCCACGCCCTTCAGCACCGTTAGCTCTTGCACGGCCTTCGAGACATCAGGCAAGGAAGCAAACGCCTTGGTGGAGGCCTCCCGCACGACGGCGTCGTCCAGGGCGGACATGAAGGAAAGCAACCGGGGCCTCCATTTTCCGCGCGCGAGCTTCCACTCCATAAGCCTGGAGAGCTCGCCGGCGGTGATGTGGGGATTAGGGTTCCGTTGGCGGAGGAGTTCCGGGAGCTCCCTGCGGTAGAAATCATCGAGGGAGACTAGATTCGGTTTACCGAGGTCTCTGATTACGGCGTCGTAGGATGAGAGAGCCTCCTTGCAACGAGCGGCGCCGAAAGAATTGAGGTCCATTGAGCGGAGACGGTGGTCGTCGATTGGGGTCTCGGTGTCGTTGGAATTGGCGCGGGCTTAGAATATGTAGTATGTAGATCTTTAGATATGCATAGCATCAAAACGGGCCATGGCCCGTCCGTCCGCCTAAATGGACGGGCTTGGGCCTTTGCTTGACCAGCCCGTTCAATCACGGGCCTATTTGGCCCACCCCGTTTGACCCGCGGTCTAAAGCGGGCTGGAGGGCTGACCCGCGGTCTAGTCCTTTTTATATTATTTAAATTTAATATTTCTTATTTCATGTGCATTTTGTTGGAGTTTATTTTTATCGTCTTTTTATTTTTTTTCTTCTTCTTCTTCCATATTTATTTATTTTATATTTTTTAAAATTTGACAATGATATTAAGATTTATGCACATGAAACACTTTTATACATAAGAAAAATATTAATGAATCAGATAATATTTTATGTGAATTAAGTCTCTCGTCCGCGTCAATACCCTATAACTATTCATAAAAAAAATAAAAATAAAAACTGGATGACAATTTTTTTTTTTTTTGGTACAATGGATGACAAATATTTAACATCATTACACATGAAACCTTACTAGTTTATTAATATACTAGTAAATATAAGGATAAATAAACCAAAAAGTATATAAGAGTGCATAATACTAAAAAACCCGCGGGCGGGCCGATTTGGCCCGCGGGCTAATGAGGGCGGGCCACGGGCCATGAATTTTCCAGCCCGTAGAAATGCGGGCCATTTTGGCCCGCCCCGTTTGAACCGCGGGTCAGACCGGGCTGGACCGGACCGGCCCGTTTGACACTGCTAGATATGCATATATCACAATTCAAACATGGGGATTTTTCACCATATTCTCAAAGTATTTTTCAACTTTTCAATTAGTCTCTAATTTGATTTTGTTTAAGAGGAAAGAAAACTTCCACTCCTTGTACCCCAAATAAAAAAATAAAAAAATAATAATAATAATAAAAAATCTTCCACTTAACCCTTTAAAGCCCTTGTTTGCTTTAAAGCCATTGTTTGCTTTTTAAGATGAGATTGGACTAATTTAGTTCAATGGGGAAGGATTGTACTGTTGGGATTGTACTATTCCTGTGTTTGTTATATATGATAAGTGGTAGGATAACTTTAAATTTAAAAAAAAATAAAACTGAGTAGGTGGTGTAAAATACTGTTTTAGCCCTTTCAAATAAATCAAAAACAGTCCGAAAATTATTAAAATAGAGGTAAAATAGAAATTTACTACAACAGGATAGGAATAATCTCACCTATTTCCTGGGATTAGTTTATCCCATGTATGAGGGATTAAGCCATTTTTATACCGGGCCGATGGGATTCCTGCGGGCTTTAGTCCCGTGAACCAAATGCAGGATTAAGCCTGGATTAAGTGGGATATCCTGCCTAATCCCACCAAGCAAACATGCACCCGTTTGTAGGCTTGATAGGGATAGGATTAGATAGGACTATCTATCAAATAAGTCAGCTCTCGTCAAATGTTTACAAAATAGGACCCATCCAATGTTTATTAACCTAGATTACTTGATATGATAAAACCTGGAATGTCAATTTATCCTCCCTCTCTTCCACTAAAATCCACATCTCCACTACAGAAATCATCGACAGGCTTTCCCCTTTCCTCTCCCTCTCTAATCAGTCGAGCCCTAGAAACTTGACGATCCTCTCCCTCTCTAATCAGTCAAGCCCTAGAAACTCGACGACGCCGCCATTATGGTCGACAGGACGAGGATGACGAAGGTGGTCGACGGTGTAAGAAACGGAGGGAAAACGGGTGCGGTCCCACGCACATGAAGCGCACCTCCGGTTAACCGGAGGTGAGTTCTCCCTATCGAGTATATATGTCTAAATCACCGGCAAGCATCGGAAATTGATTCAAGCTGAATATATGGAGAGAAGATTTCGACACTGACGATTTCGACAGAAATGGAGAGATAAGAGCCGAAAACGGTGACCAGCGACAAAGGCTTCTACACATCCCAACAAATTACAAAACAATACC